GGGGGGGGGGGTCTTATTTCGCGTGTTGATTTAAAGGTGCCCTAATAACCGTCGTTGTTCAATAAAAATAAGAGAGAAAAATCGGTAATCGGCTGCGGCATAGTTCTACTGAAAAGAAATTCTCATAATTTCCTGTTCCACCCTACTACGCGCCTTTCGCAATGTTTTCAAGCTAGAATATAACGCGTTAAAGACTCAAATAGCTCGACTAACGTTTATGAATTATTATATCAGCGAATATCTATGAAATATCTATGAATTCGAGGATTTAAGATTTATCTGCAATGTTACGTGTAACATAAAGTCGGTGTACCGTAATACAAAGCTGCAGAATTTTCGCGAGATGTACCTGCTACTTCGTCATCGACCCGTGAAATGTGATGCAATGTAACACTCAGCCGTCCAGCTCTGCGCTCGCGACACCAACACCTTTGTGCGGATCAGTCTCATCCGATAAATTGGCGCTGTCATATCACCGTCAGGTGTACAGGAGAGTCTGTCACGAGAATCGGCGCACTGACTTTACCCGTGAGAGCATCGATTCGCACAACATCGAGAGAGTTACACTCATGATCGTATGTATTTGCCGATATTCACTGCCACGCTTATCGGTGACCTTCGTCGTGCACAATCGCGACGACGAGGTTCCTCTCGGCGAGCGTCGACCTTGGCCGCGTCGAGTCGGTCCGGATGACCGTCGACGTGAAACTGCCGGGGATGTTCCGCGAGAGAGACTCGAGTTCTCTAGCTAGTGAGTCGGCGCCTCCGCGATGGAACGAAGAGAAGGAGAAGGATGAAGATCAACGGAGGAGAGGCCCTCTCCCGATCCTCTCGGCCATTGCGAACGCGTCTACCGGCTACTCTCTCGTTGGCCGCCCGGAAATCTCATTGCTCTGATACGGATTACACTCTGATAAATCGGACCACGGCACGCCCACGATACCGTGCGCCGACCGGATATAAAACGCTTTCTTCCTTCGCTGTTATATTTGCTATTACTCGAGGAGAATCATCCTCCCCGATGAGAAATTCCACCTGTTTCGTCTGCTATTTTAGGGAGATGTCTGATTAGTCGGACATGTTTCTTTTTATCTTTGAATTTTAAAATGAGAGAGGGAGAGAAAGAGAGAGAGAGAGAGAGAGAGAGGGATTAACAAGTTTGGATGGTAAGGACGTAACAATCACGTTAGGAGAATATATGCTCTTTTTGCATCAATTATTATTTTATTTATCACGTGACTAGACAGTTTGGTTGTATTAACATCAAGTTTGATTATAATGAACGCGTATTAACGCATTTTAATTAAAGAAAATAAGAATCCTGCTTCTTGGAACTAAATTGGGTTGAAGAATGTCAGAAATTTTATATTCTTCAACCAAAACATATTGGTTTTCGTTCGTTAAAAATAAACTTCACGTTAATACAACTAAATTTTTTCTCTGTACAGTTTGTATGAAGTTCTAACAATAAAACGTAGCCTTTTGATCGATTTATGTTTCAGAAAAGCAAAATCATGCTGAGCAAAGTATTTTTTTCATACATGCATCCTTTATACAAAATAAATTTTATTTAACCCTTTGCGTACAATGTTAGGTCTGTAAGACCTGAATGAATATTTGATCGCTCACTTACTTTACCTTCGTAAAGAATTTAGAAAAATTTCAAAATACCGCAAATTTGTTTGTAAATTTCAATTTAATGACGTTATCTTATAGTTGAGGCTGTTCTATATCTTTGGAAAAAAATGTGTTCAAAAATAATTATTTTCATCAAAGTTATGGTATTTCAAAGTTGCTCAAATCTGAAAAATCTGCTAGATTTTTATTTTAGAAAATATTATTATATTGGAAATATTATTAATGTGAATGGGTTAATTTTATATATTATTGCTTTACCTATATTTTTTAAAAGAAAACTTACCACTGAGAACAATTACTTAACTCTTTGAATCATAAAGGAATGATAGCATCCCACCTATTTTTTCTTCGTTTTTAGTGATTTTAACTAACTTATATCAGCAGATATAGTCGATTGTATTATCACCATGCACGATCTCTTTCTCTCTTTCATAAAAAAACAAAGATTAAAAATAAGTAAAAAAATAATTTGAGTGTTTCATTATTAAATTATTATAAGTAAGTTAAAGTAAGAAAAATAATTTTTTCTAGACAAAAATTATTTTTACAACTATTAGGAATTGATACATTGAAACATTAATTATTTATTAAGAATAATTAATAGTATTTCACATATTTTTTTCCAAATTTTCTATAAAATCTATTTTGTACAATAAACTATTGAAATATTCATAATATGTTTGCTGAAAGCTTCTTATCAAAGATATAGATATCTTTTTTCATATCGAAGAAATGTCGTTGTTATTGCTGGATAATGTTAAAAATGAAATTACTAAAAGCGATGTTGCCTATTTTAAAAATTTATAATCGCCATATTGGACCCGCCATTTCGAATTTTAACTTTTTCACTTCAAACTTCTAATCAGTGAGATCCCGAAATCCTCCACATAACAAATTTGAAAAACCTTACTGAGAAATGAAATGTATGGCTCAAAAGGGGTTAATAACCTCGCAAATAAATTTCTCCCTTTTCATCCACAAATTATTCGATGATTGAAAGAGAACGAGGACACGATTTTTTCATGGGTATTGCATATTCCGCACGTACTTGACCGATATCCTTGCGATGGTCCCGAGGTGGGTTGTCAAACGAAGTCAAGAGGACCGGTAAGACGAACTTGGTAAGAAGATGATGATCGATAGACAAGACAGGTAAGAGTGGAACAACGAAAGGTAGAGAGAGAAAGAGAGAAACAAGCAATGGATGAGCAGTAGGGTGGACCGTATGGCGTTGTCTGGGTCCTCCGATTACCAGCATTGGAAGTTGCCGTCGCCGGTGCGCTCGCTGCGGTAACGTCGTAACCGGTAACGGTACCGCGCTTCGACGGCGTTCACCGGTCGCACCGATGTGAGAGTACTGTTATTTCAACTATGCAGGTGTTCCCTCTCCGTCTATTCTTGCTCGGCTTCATGCTCGCTCTTTTACGTCCGTCTCATTCTTTCCCACCATATCTCAAAACACAGCCAATTCAGCATTATGTTTGCCCATCGATCCGCTTTCTTTGATCATTTTTTTCTTTGAATATTAAGTATGTTTTCTTGTTTAGAAGGGATTAGTGGATGATGCGATAAATGAAATGAACATAAATAAATAATCGCACAACAATTATCGCTCTTAGTCTATTAACGTTTGATGTATTCGAAAATTTAAATCACTTTTAGAATGAGTAAATGTTACGATAATACGCGCTGAATAATGAATATAAATATGCAAATAGAATTATTTACTTATGTATATTCAGGAATTTTTATGGAAGGGCGAAAAAAAACTCGTAAATTTGACTGTCAGGCGATCTTAAGCTTCGCTATATGCAACGTACAGTCGCGGTTTACTTTCATTCGCGCATTGTTTTAATGAATGCATCACTGATGCATCACGTATGAGCACGCAGTTGCTATTAATTTGTGACTAACAACGGTGAGAAAGTCGTTCATTCGAGATACTTGAGCTGATTCTTGAGCGCGTCATTTTCATTTTATATGCATTACGAAATTGTGGACCGTTACCGAAGCGCTCGCGCCTATTAGCGCTTGCGACTGTTTTTTACAACAAGTTTTTACATCTGTCTTCCTGTACGTGTTAAACAGCACACTTCAAACTGAGAAGAGAAAGAGGAAGAGAGAGGGGGAGGGGGAGATAAAGAGAGAAGATAGACTGCGTAGTAGGTTAATTACATGGATATTATTAATAAAACATTGACTCAACTGTAAATGCCTGCGCCAAGTTAAAGACACATCTCACTGGCCGGAAATTTATAAAATGAGCTGCGTGCGCTGCCGTTTTCGTCGGGGATCGATGAAGACCCGTTATAGATAGAGCTGGCATAATCATCATCGCATGATTATCATGCTATTTCGCAGGTATCGTTCGATCAGCGCGTCGACGACAGGTGGCACATGCCTCGCAGCCGAAGTCACGCTTAGCCTAAGCGGGAAGCTTAGGTAGCGGCTGCCAATTTCCTCACAAAGGCAATATCGCATCTGTTCGTTCCTTAAAGATTCCCCAATGCCGCGTTTAGACCAGATACTTCCGCCGATTAGAGCTGGCACGCCATCGAAGTGCCGTTGCGTTGCTACCTCGCGATCGACTTATCGATCCGGTTGTTGATTCACTCCATATCTGTCCGTCAACTGTGCACTTTAGATCTTCTTATTTTTGCATGTGCGCATGCTGCGAGAGAACAGGTACGACGGTAATCGGCACGTTGGCGCGGTTAAGGGAATTAGAATATTGTTCTAATTTTGTAACGGCAAGTAGAATCGGGACGGACTTTTCTTTCGGTGTTAATGGCAACCTCGTGACTTTCAGCCGAAATTAATATAAACCGGTTTTTTTCTGCGTGCACAAATGCGCCACTGGACCAGTCGCGCTCGATTATGTACGCTTATCACGTCTTGCCTCATTTCTCCTTTGCTGTTTTTTCCTTTTCTTTCTTCTTTATACCAACAATCGAAACCGGAAATCTCTCCGCGCGATGATTGCGTGGAACTCTTAAAAGCGCTTAAAAGGATGCACCCTAAGCGGAAGTATTAGCGACTATCAATTTGTCACGCAGGCACAGGCTTCACAGCTGTTCATCCAATCGCTTGTAGGCGCGGACTTCCGTGTTTAAATGCTGCTTCTCTATCAGCTAATTATGAAACCGTCCGTATCTCGCAACCGTGCGCCTCACCTACCGATAATACATCTAAGCTGCACTCTCTCTCTTTCTCTTAAGTACAAGGAAATAATTATTCGTTATTGAAATTGTATGCAGTTACTTTGCGAAACATAAAATTATATCGTGTTTTTATCGTGTTTTTACTTACAAGCACTGAGCGG